GACAGACAGACAGACAGAGAAATAAAAGAGCTAGGGAAGGACTTGTAGCGCTGTGTGTTACTGTCTGTCTCTGAGGTTGTGTACAGAAACTATGAGCACCAAAGTATAATTCATTCAGATTTATCTACTTGGTAAACAAGAGAGACTGGGGGAGAAAGAGGTGCTGACTCCCAACCTTTGAAGCAGGTTGAAAGTCCAAACCATACGAGTCCATTCCTCCATTATAATTATATTCCACCGATCAAAAGAATCAAAGGGTTTCACTAAAATTGCGACATTCACGTCCAAGTGTCAAGGCAGAAAAATAAAAAAGTACAACCTGAAATTAAAGTTTCACAATTAGAGAATATTTCCATCTGTGCTGAGTAAAAGTTTTGTGTTAAGGGAACTAACACTAACTAACTAAATGCCTGTCCCAAATAGACGTCTGTCCCCAATAAAGGCAGAGTGATTGAACCAAATAAAGTTTTACGGTACTTAACTTCAGAGTAAATGTACTTACATTCCACTATTGATTGGATGTTATTGGTTTTCTTTGCTTTGCTCAAAAGGGAGATGAAGACGTGTTCACAGCCTGCCGAAGGACAAATTTGCGGCTTTGAGTGCATACAAATAAGTTACCGAGGTGAGGAAGTAAGGAGCTGTGGTGCTCCGCAAAGCAAAGGCAAAGAAAACATCAACTCCCAGCAGTCTGTCTGCTTCACAAAGACCGGCTTTCTCTGTCCCTGAGCATCTCTGGAGATGTTTGCCATAAAGAGAGAGAGAGATGTTGATGTTCTGGACTTCACCAGAGAAATGCATTGACCATGGGAGAGCAGGGGACACAGACAATATTAATTGCTTTTTGTTATATGAAGATAAAAGGTCATTGTGATTCCTGCACAATAGAGGGATGCAGACAAGTAGCAAGTATCTGAACAGAGAGAAAAGTGCAATGTGTCCCCAAAACAGCTGAATGAGAAGAATAAACAAACTCTTTGATTTACAAAAGCTGTGGTAAAGTAATGAAGTGCAGCCTGGAGAATTCAAGGACAACATGTGCTCGGTAACTACTTTATTTATTCCCAAAGGAGAAATCTGAAATGTGATTACTGCACAGTCACTATAAACACAACATTTAACCAATCAATCATCAATATGACTCAGTCTAACTATTGATTTATGGACATTCTTAGCCAGACTTTTCCGGACATTTTAAACTATATTTGTATGTTATCTACTTTTTGTTTGTCATTTGTCTGGTTTTATGTTGACGCATTCACACAAATTAAGTTCCTAACAGATAAATAAAGCTGTTTTGATCAGCATTAAAGGTACATACCTATAGAACTAATACTTATATTGTTTAAATTACTTTGAAGGCTGTCCTAATCCTGAACTATGTTGCTGCACTCACAGGATCACTCACTAAGCGCTGGTGTCCAAACCACAGTATTTCTGACCAATCAGCGTCCTGTGAGGAATTACTGGCAGCTACGCAGTGACCTATAACTGTAGTTTAATGCTAGGTGTGTCTGATATGTCACTGTTTGCTCAAAAACAATAATGGCGGCTGCTAAAGAGGTTAGCGTAGGTGCTGCTAGGATCAGTTATATGAGAACTGGAGAATATTTGTTCACTGAAAGAAGCAAACAACAGCACTGATTAGTAAAGAGACAACTGAAAATCAATGTATAAGCCAAACAGAACGAAACACAATTATGTTTATAAATGTTATACGTTATACATGGAACTTACTAATTATTATGTTACACCCAGCCTAAATGTCCAAATGTTTGGACATCAAAATATCTTATTTTAATGAGAATTTGGGTTTGTATTTTTCATATTTATTGTTCTATTTATTTAAACTTCTTGGGCTATTATTATTATTCATTACAGTGTGGTGGTCTTTCTGCTGGGCCTTAGGCCTGTCGCACCTCCAACGGTGCTGTGTGGCTTGTGGCATGGCCAGGGGTCCGTCCTCATTCCCGCCGCTGAGAACCAGGCCTAAACCTGACCGCATACCGCACGGTTTTGCTGCAGGGTCTTCAGCTGGGGACCACCGCTCATTGACGTTTCGCCCCTTAACCCAGAACATCTCCTGGTGGTGGGGCAGTGACCAGGGACGTCTCCCTGACACCCCCTGCAGCAAAACCTAATTGGATGTTACTCCCCAAGCCTTGTCTCGTCGTTTCAGCCAGAGCCAGTGGCTTGCTTTCTCAGCTTCCTCAGAGAGCTCTTTGGTGGATCTGCTCAGTGTGGCTCCACTTAGTCCCAGGTCCTTGAGCAGGCGTGATGTCGATCTGCCCACAAAGCCTCTGGCTCCCACCTCCACCGGGTACAGCCTCACACTCCATCCACTTTCTCTGCACTCCGCGACAGGCTGCAACTTCGCCTTTGTTCTTCTCATAGGCAGCTTCCAGTCCCTCCTCCCATGGCACTGTCAGCTCAGTCAGTATGCTGAGTCCCTGCTGCAGACCACAGCACCACGCTGGTCTTAAGGTGGTGCTGCATATCTCCTGTGGGGAACTGGAGCTGCCTTCCAGTCTACTTCCATCTTCCACGCCGCCCCTAACTATTATTACACAAAAATTCAACATTAACATCCAAACTTAACAGTGTGATTTTCCAAAACAGGTATTACACTCTTAACTAACCACCCATGCATTCTGTCCCCCAAAAAAATAACAATATTACAGGTGTATGAAAGATGTTCAATATAGTTTTGACAAAATGTACATACATTAGTATCTTAATTAAGTCTTTCTCTTAATATTTCACTGCAATGATAAATATCATAAATAGTTTGTTTGCTTCATTTTAGGTAACGAGTTTGAACTTTGACAGTGTTCGCTCTTGAAAACATTTCCTGCCACCAGCTGACAACAAACACAAACATTCCGTCACACTGGCGGAAATGGGCTTCCAGACTTGCTGGGTGCAGCTGATGGAAGGGGTTGTACTGGGAGGAAGTTCTGCCTGACAGACTGCACTCAGGGACAAAACGCAGCAGCATCCCCACCCCATCTGATTGGGTCCTACGCATTGACAGTATGTATGGTCCTACAGAGCTTCCGTAGCCGTCATGGCGTTCCTGGTAGAAGTTGTGTTTGCGGTTTTAATTTTATGCTTGTTAATTATTATCCGGTTATATATAGTTGTGAAGACTGGATCAAAATATCAACCTGGAGCTAAAGGCCCGGTCGCTGTTCTTGTCGTTGCGGGATCAGGTAATGACATTATCCATGTAGCACGGTGCTAAGTGCTGTTATCTGCTGTCACCACACGTAAACACTGTTTCAGTCATATTCTACCGACTTAAACCGATATGTTTTACTTTCCGACATATCACACATTATTTCTACGCACAAGGGCGACCAAGCAGACTATGTTTTCAAGTCTCGCCATTGGCTAACAGTTAAGTTAGCTGACTTCCTTAGCTTCCACGCTAACGATATACTGGACTGTACCAAAATGTTGGTAATAGTGGGGGTGGGGCTTTTTCAGCATCAGAACTACTTTAGTGACGTTACAGTTGGTCAAGTTGAAAATATGTGCATCAAATTACAACATACATAAAAATGTACAGTATATTATAATATATAACAAAATGAAGAAAATAAGAAATTCAAAATATGTATGTGTCAGAAAAATGTAAAAAACCAAAAATGTGCAACAACACATTATGTGATAACACTGCATTATGTAATAATTGAATTAATAATGCAATATGTAATACAGTTCCCTGTGTTTTGTAATAAATGATTGTTGTGGTGGTTATTACAAAATGAGGGAGTTTATGTATTTTATTTTTTGTTATAGAAAATGTATAATACATACATACATAACGTTACATAATAACCATAATGTCTTGTATGTTTTACAGGCGGTCACACCTCAGAGATCCTGCGGCTGATGGAGGGCCTTTCTGCAGGGTACAGGCCTCGGCACTATGTTATCGCAGACACTGACAGGATGAGTGAGGAGAAAATCTGCACCTTTGAAAGCTCTAAACAACACTCAGACTCTGAGTCGCAGGTACACAGCTGTCCACAGGCGTAGGCTAGGGTGGTGGTGGTTTGTCCCTACCACTGTGAGGGCGCTGCTGAATACTCGCTATCAATGTGTTTAATTTTTTCACCCTACATTATTAGATTGTTAATTATCGTAAGTACCATTTTACTGTTGTAAAAAAGCCAGTTTAAATGACTGTATATACAGTTGGGTAGTTTAGTCCAGAGCTCCAGATCAGGGGGTCACCAGATAAATCTGTGTGTATATATATATATATATATATATATATATACATTATTGAAATGAAATCATGAGAGAAGTTTAGAGGCTAAATGTATTTTTGGTGGAACTGCTAACAACTCCGAACCCCATGACAGGGCCACTTTTAAGTTTGTGTGGCCTAAGTCAACACATTGATAGAATCACAGGTAAGGTTTGAAAATCATTTACAGCAGACAGTTGGTTCAAACAGAGAGACACATTACCTACAGATTATTTTCTTTATATTTATTATGAGAATTTCATATTTCTTTTTTATTATTATTAATTTAAGCCTCAGATGCTTATAATACAATGTCAAATCAGAGAACAATTCACATCATACAAGTCCTGTTTTAGGTGAGTTATAGTGTGCACAGATGTGTGAATATGTAAATTACAGAGCAATGTTTATATTGGCTGGGAGAAAGCTGATGAGTGTGCGCAGTAACTGCTGGGACTGCCTGTGGTTTAGTGTTAATATTCACCAGCAGGTGGCATGAGTAAACTCTTCATCTTTGCTTCTCTGGTAAAGATTTTATTGCAGACCAATTTTGTTTTTTAGTTTAGACCAATTAGTTGATTAGCTAATAGGTTAGCAGACTTATCGGTGCAGCCTTTTGTTTGACATTATCTGAATGAAGATATTACTCAAACCTACACACTGGACCTTTTTAAAGGCTCAGTTTCTTTTTCTTTTTCTTTTGCCTTTATTGAGTGTACAAATCAGGTGAGAGGGCTGACATGATGACATGCAAGGTACCCAGCATGAATGGAACCAGAGATGTGAAATACACTTTGCATTGTTTCAAATGTACTTTTGAATGCCTTGAGCGCCACAAATCATTAACCTGGAAGCAGGTATTCTCTCCAAAATATCTGCATTGCCCCATGTACATTTCTTGGAATTTGGGCGAACTGAACCTTTATTTAAGCCAATTTAATTTTGAGACCACCATTTCTTTCTGAATTAAGAAAAGCAATGTCTCTGAGCACCTCTGATGGACATGTGCCCTTCTTCCCCAGTTCACCATCTGCCGGATCCCACGGAGCCGAGAGGTGCATCAGTCTTGGAGTTCCTCTGTTATCAGCACCCTGAACGCCCTGCGCTACTCCCTTCCTCTGGTGTTCAGACTCAGACCTGACATGGTGAGTGGACCCAGAGAGCAGTCGGTAGCTGTTCTAACACAGCAATCTGTACCCTTATATATATACTCTATGTGGACAAAAGTATTTGGCC